TAGTGATATGTGAGTCATGTTGATGAGTAATTATGCTATAGTAAGAATATTGGTGTTAAGGTTTGTGATTCCCTATGCAAGAACGAAAGCTAATAGTCATGCAATGAAATTACATCCTACTTGTGGTGAATTATTCGGTGTTAGTTACACTTAATGCTCACTTATGAGATTTTTTGTTTCTTGGTTGGTTGCTTCTTAATCTTTACATCCTACTTGTGGTGCATTATTCGGTGTTAGTTACGCTTAATGCTCACTTATGAGATTTTTCGTTTCTTGGTTGGTTGCTTCTTAATCTTTTGCTAGCCTTCACTTGTACTAAGTAGGAATACTACTTGTGCAACCAAAATCCTTAAACTCGGTTTTGCCATATGAGTCCACTATACCTACCTATGTGCGGTATTTCCGTGCCATTCTAAGCAAATTTGTATGCTCCATCTCTAATTTTCAAAATAAATTCCCTTTTTTATGTGCTCGTACCTCTCATGAAACAGTAGGGGGTGGCTGATATTTTTCCATGCTAGATGTGTTATTCTCAAGATGAGTGTTTATTCACATGTCATTGCACGAGAGTACGACAAAGGTATTAGGGATGCCTAGTCCTGAATGAAAAAAGAGTTTACTTTATGTTGTCAAATAATAAATTCCTTGGAAAGTGTTGGTATGGACGGCAACTGTGGGTACAGTTAGCCATGGAATGTGAAAGTATGGTGGAAAAAGGAATAAACTTTATTTTCTGTTTGAGAACCACCTATGATATATCTAGCATGGAAAGTATTGAGAACTACTCGATTATTTTCGTTGATAGGAAAAGCATGCCACCCAAAATGTTTTATCTCTATCTTTTTCTGCTTTGTGCTCTCGCACCTCTACAAATCCCTACTTCCCTCTGTGAATGACCTTTCTTTTACTTTATGCAATTTTTATTTTTTGAGTCTCCATCTTCTCTTATAATTAAAGCACCAACTAAGGGGCATTATGATCGTACTTGAGCATTAGGTGTAGCTAATATGCGAGTGTGTTTCATTAATGGATCAATGATTGAGCATAATGGGCTAGGGATAACTTACTTTAGTGTTGATATTTTGAAAGACATGGTTGCTCGTTGATATGCTTGAGTATTGAGATCTTCATGTCAAAACTAGACTATTGCTATGAATCATATAAATGTCCAAATGTCCATGCTACAAAAGAAAAGAATATGTGAACATGATAGGCAGCATTCCGCATCAAAAATTCTGTTTTTATCATTTACCTACTCGAGGACGAGCAAGAATTAAGCTCGGGGATGATGATACATCTCCAACGTACCTATAATTTTTTATTGTTCCATGCTGTTATATTATCATTCTTGGATGTTTTACAATCATTTTATAGCAACTTTATATCATTTTTTGGGACTAACCTATTGACATAGTGCCACATGCCAGTTGCAGTTTTTTGCTTTGCAGAATATCAATACCAAACAGACTCCAGACGCAGTGGAACTTTTTGGAGATTTTTTCTGGACCATAAGACACATGTTGGGCGAAAGAAGTACCAGGGGGCTCCGAGGGGAGCACAACCCATCTGGGTGTGCCTGGGGCCCAGGCGCGCCCCGGTGGGTTGTGCTCACCTTAGTCGCCTTCCACACCGCCTCTTTGCTCAATAAATACCCCGAAAATCAAAAAATCCTAGTTGAGTTGACAAAACACAATTCCAGCCGCTGCAAGTTCCAGAACCACGAGATCCAATCTAGACACCATCACAGAGGGGTTCATCATCCTCATTGGTGCCTCTCCGATGATGATTGAGTAGTTCATTGTAGACTTTCTGGTCCGTAGTTAGTAGCTAGTTGGCTTCCTCTCTCTCTCTCTCACTCTCTCTCTCTCTCTCTCTATCTACCTCTATCTATCTCTATCTCTCTCTCTCTTCTGATTCTCAATATAATGGTCTCTTGGAGATTTATTTAATGTAACTCTTTTTGTGGTGTGTTTGTTGGGATCCGATGAACTTTGAGTTTATGATCAGATCTATTTTATCCATGAAAGTTATTTGATTTTTGATCTCTTGTATGCATGATACTTATAGCCTCGTATTTCTTCTTCAAATCTTTGGTTTAGTTAGGCCGACTAGATCGATTTTTCTTGCCATGGGAAGAGGTGCTTTGTGATGGGTTCGATCTTACGGTGCTCAATCCCAGTGACATAAGGGGACATGACACATATGTATCGTTGCTATTAAGGATAAAAAGATGGGGTCTATTCCTACATGAATAGATCTTGTCTACATCATGTCATCATTCTTATTGCATTACTCCGTTTCTCCATGAACTCAATACACTAGATGCATGCTGGATAGCGGTCAATGTGTGGAGTAATAGTAGTAGATGCAGGCAGGAGTCGGTCTACTAGTCTTGAACATGATGCCTATATGATGATCATTGTCTGGATATCGTTATAATTATTTGAAGTTCTATTAATTGCCCAACAGTAAGTTGTTCACCCACTTTATGGTATTTTTATCGAGAGAAGCCACTAGTGAAATTGATGCCCCCTGGGTCTATCCTTTATCATATTTGGCTTCGAGATCTATTTTATTCACTTTTATTTTCAGATCTATTATTCCAAAAACCCAAAAATACCTTGCTGCACCTTTTTATTTATTTATTTTATTGCGAGATCTATTTATCCAATCTACTACAAAACAATCTATCTTTTATCCGCGAGGGATTGACAACCCCTTTTACGCATCGAGTTGCAAGTATTTGCTCTTTATGTGCAGGTACCGTTTACGTAGTGTTGCTTGGTTCGATAACCTTGGTCTCATCACCGAGGGAAATACCTATGCATCATCCCTTCCTCTTTTGGGAAATACCGACGCAGTTTCAAGCCACATCAGTCCTATGTGGGAACGGTGTGGACTCTAGCAAAGCCCCCTTCTTTGCTTGCCATTTAGGGGAATTTGTACAACGGAATGTTCTGGCGGAATGATGGGATACCATGTTGGTTGGAAAATTGCGTCCCGATAGCTCGATCCGAAGGGTTGTGGGTGTTTTAAGGGTTGGTGTTGGAGATGCCCTAAGCCCCATTCAGTTAGTCCATTTCAGACAAGTGAATAGCAATGAGATTAGCCAATTAATCCAGAAAGAGCCCCCATGTAACTGGGCACCACACTTGTCTACCCCTTGGCCGAAGCAGGGAGAATCATGTTCATGGGATGTTCCTCATGTCTTCATGGGAGCATCGCTCCGCATGAGGCCTGAGTACTTTCCACGGCTGGTTATGCCCGCTCCATCCTGTGGCTAGTGCTTAATAAACCGAGTGCAATTCCTCTCGATTAGTGGTATGGCCCTAATATCGTCGACCGACACCAGCGGCAACGCCCTCTTGCAAAGATTATACTAGCCATGGCAGCTAAGCGGGCTGAAACCCACATTGCCCATTAGGGTTTCCCTCTAGCCCATGGCCACTACCACCGCTATTGCCGACTTGTCACGCCGCCTATGTGGCTAGGGCAGGAAGGGGCTGCACTTTGACCTATCGTGCACCCTCACTGATTGTACCCGCCAAGGACGCCATGGCCGCCTTTGAGGTTGTCTTCTCTCCTCACGGGGGCGGTGCCTGACCGCTGCCTCGCCACACACTGTTGGTTCACTCACATGCTCGAGGTTGTGGCACCCCACGAGTCAAATGTAAATGCCCCACTCATATTTTAATTGGCCAAATTGAAATTTTGATCATGGGAAAGAAACACACTACGTTTCAGATATTCATGTGGAATCAACATCTTAAAATTTACCAATGATTTTTTTTCTCAAAAAGGAGGTTAAATCTTCGCCCTCTGCATCATTGTGATGAACACATCCATTGTCCACTTGTCTAAGTCTAATAAGAATTTTTTTTTTTGCGGGGTGATGTCTAATAAGATTGTGCGTCTTCCGAACAGCGTCGTGGCATTGCCTTGAAAAGAATATTATTATAAATAAAAGTTATTGTTTAAATCGTGACCGCCGAAAATCACTCAACATTTTGTTGAAAGAAATGTGACGAGTCAAGTCAAGTCAACTTGCCCGCGTTTGCCCCGCGGGACATGGACATCGACGTCGACGCGCACCTCTTCTCCATCTCTTTAGTTAGCGTGTTGCGTTGCCGTGGCTCCTCTGCTCTGCATATATACTCTGCGGACTCCCCACACCTGCAGCTTTGTATCTACTCCACCTCGCAAGCAAGGAGACCACCACTCAGTCATCCCGTCTCGCTCTTGGACCTCTCACCAGCGTCGTCTCCCCCCAAGGTTAGTTCACTCCATTCTCAAGTGCTCCATGGCACCGTCGTTCTAAGCTCCGCATCAAGTACCGTACCTGCAGCAACTGTCGATCTGTCGTGGTTTGGTAAAATGGAAAGTTGCAGCGTCAGTCCACAGCTTGCGTCTGCTCAGTCCCCAGTTCACTAGCTGCTCTCGCTCCCGTCGCCTCCGCTGGCTTCGCCCGCCGGAGAGAGGAACGGGTGGGGGGCTCCGGCGGCTTTCCTCTTCCTCTGTATGTCCGGAGTGGCCGCTTTGCAGGGTCGCTTCCTGCCGTCGGCATGGGCGCCGGCCGTCGTCCCGGTGCAACCTGTAGGTCGAGCGTCTCCCCCAGATCTAGAGCTGCTGGGCGCTGAGCGTCTGAGCTGGCCAGTCCGAGGCTCTCCGATAATCCCCTGCTTCTGCTCTGCAGTTTCCCCACACCAGATCTGACCCTAGGTTGCCGTCCTCTGCAACTTATGCCACCGGCAAAACTGGTTTCTGTTGATTCAGGAGGCACTGCTTCTGCTGCTGTTCCGAAGCTCGCTGCCGCGCCATACCTTCCAGCTGCCGAGCCCTTGTCATGCTTTAGGACACACAGCGTTAGAGTCAGGCTTTGCAATCAATTATCCGTATAATTGAGAATTAGTTCTATGTAATGACCCTTTTGGACCTGTTCGAAAGAAAACATTTGTGGCTGCTCGCTTCTGAACTCATTAAAACTTTTTGGATGGACAGCAATGGCCACCGGAAGTAACACCCAAGAGATTATTAGGCCGAGCCCTGAGCTGCCGAAGCAACTGCCCTTTGACTTTCTGAAGAAGATTACAAACGATTTCTCGACTGAGCGGAAGATTGGTGGAGGTCCATTTGGAAACGTTTATAAGGTTTGACCGTTGTTTCCTTAATACCTTCTGCCCTTTCAATCGAGATTGGTGAGGTAGGCTAACATGTGGTACTATATCTGTGGGATAAACTAAACAGGGAGTTGTGCCAGATGATGGCAGAGTGCTCGCGGTGAAGAAACTTCAGGAAAACGCGCCGATGCCGCCTGACAAGACATTCAACAATGAGGTTCAGAACATTATGGCGCTCAAACATGAAAACATAGTCGAGTTGGTTGGATTCTGCTGGGAAACACAGAAGAAACTGGTGCAGTTCAATGGAAGGTATATTCAGGCAGACATCACTGAAAGTTTACTCTGCTATGAGTATCTACCTAATGGGAGCCTTCAACAGAATCTTTTCGGTATGCAATAAACATATCTGACATATCTTGCATTTCTCTTTACATTTCCATCTTTGGAGCTAGGGCATCACCTTGAGCTTTTTTACATTATTTATTTATCTTCCTAACCCTTTAGCTTTTTTGCATTCATATACAGGAACAAAAACAGCTGAGGCTGTCTCTTCAGCTGAACCTGCTATCGATTGGGCCACACGCTTCAAGATAATCAAGGGAATTTGCCAGGGTTTACTGTTTCTACACAAGTTGGATATTCCCATTATTCATATGGATCTGAAGCCTGAAAATATATTATTGGATGGAAATATGGTTCCAAAGATTGCTGATTTTGGACTCTCGAGGGTCTTTGGCCAAGAACAAACCCGATTGTACACACAAACAGTTGTGGGATCATAGTAAGCTCATTACAAGCCTTGATAATAAAAATTCCATTTTCTCATCTCCAGTATTGCCTAATAAACTTTTGATGATAATGGCATCCAGTGGGTACATGGCTCCAGAATATCTATACAGAGGTGAAATTTCGGCCCAGTCAGACATATATAGTTTAGGCTTATTAATACTCGAGATCAGTACTGGAGAGCAGAACTGCAAAGACAAAAACCAACCCTCAGCAAGAAACTTTATTGATAAAGTAAGAAGATATATTATTTGATTATTGGAAGGTTAAAATTGAACCCTATGTTTCATTTAGTTTGCATACTATAACCAATGATCGTGGTTCCATTTGTTTAGGTACGCGAAGATTGGACACTGGAGCACATAGCGTCCAAATATGCATCCTTAGATACAGAAGGCCTCCATCAAGTTAAAATATGCATTGAAGTTGGGCTAAAATGTGCTGAGATTGATCGGCGAGTCAGGCCTCCCATAGAAGAAATTGTTGACACGCTCAACGGACTACGTGCAAACGAAATGGCAAACGAGGTAAATAACAGGGGATAAAGAGGTACTCTACTGAGACGATTTAATTTCACAAAAATAGAAAGAATGAACTAAATTTAGTTTTTCTTCGAATGACTGATCGATTTCATGTGTGTCCTAGGTTTTTTACTGCCAAAATTACAGTCATCTTCATGCATATATACATTTTAACTTTTTTATAGATGTATGTCAAATTTATTTCTATGGACCTTTGTTATTGCAAGTTTGCAACTGTGAAGCAACACGTTATAGCCATTTTTAAGTAGGTTGAATGACCATTTTTCTTAATTAAGAGGCGACCTGGTAACATTCATACAATCTGCATAGCCTATATAAGGTTTGCAAAAGAAAGGATTTACTAGGGATATATACATCCCAGCGAACATCTATATAACCATGCAGTTTATTGTACACATTCCAGATGGTTCTAATTAGCATACTGTATACATCTGAAATTTCAGGTCCCTCATGCATCTCCGGTTAGCAAGAAGATGGGTTTTCTAGGAGGTTTCAAGAAGAAATAAAACGTGTGTTATTATTGCTGGAAGACTCAAAATTTGCTTTGGAAATAAGACCATTTGATGCTATATATGCCAGTCGGGAAACGTAGAAATTTTCTTTATTTTGTGAAACTATATCTTTTTATTATTGATCAAGATGGGTTGCAACAAGAAATTGAAGCAATAATTTGTTTCTCCTCGGCAGTTGTCATTAAGATGGTACCACAAGAGGACGGGGTCAAATTTCTCACAAAAGTTACAGTTAACATTTTCGATCCAGAGGACGGGGTTGCGACCCTTTTCAAGAAAAGAAAAAACACAGACCGTCATTTTCAAAAGGACATGTGTGTGTAGCATGACACCACAATGATTAACTCTACTGCTAAAAAATATAAATGTTTTATGACCAACCATTATACCGATTGACAATCCTTCATGTTTTTTGTCTGTAATTGCCATGTTGTCACTTGCATATAATGTTCCAGATAGGTTAAAGTGACATGGTTGACGTTATAGTGCTAATGCTATTGTGGTAACTGTTTGTTGCTTACATGGCAACCAATGGTTTCTGTCTGTTGCTGGTATGTGAACCAATGTTATTTGTCTGTTGCTTGCATGGCACCCATGGTGATATACCTTGGTAATTGGTGGCAACACCTTTTTTGTTGAAACGTAACGACATGAGAATGGCAGTGTAATACTCATGGGGCAAAATTGCTCCATGAAGTACGAATTTGGGCAATAATACCCCCGGCAGCAAACTTGTTCTGTAACACACCCTTGAAGTGGTCGAGTTCCTTGGCAAGTGATTGTATCTCATGAGCCTTTTCAAGTACAGATGGTCTTGGCATCTGGGTCGAACGCTGCCTTCAAAATTCAGACCAACCAAAGTATAGAGAAATAACATTAGATGGATAAAAATAGAACATGAATCAAGAGAGAAACTTACCAAGGAAAAGATTTCCCAACTCAATTGAACGAAATTGGTAAAGAATCGGAGGTTTGAGATGATTTAGGTATGAGGGTTGGGAGAGAAAGATAGAGAGAGGCGTGGGGTAATGTCTATTTTGAGCCCTTGCCCTGGAATCGGCCCTTCACCCGGTATGATCATGAGTACGAGCGGGATGCCCATACTGTGCATTGTATTGCATATAAATCTTGATCTAGGGTTATCGAGGTACCTGGTACGAACGAGACTGCTCGTGTCACACCGTGTCCTCCTAGAGAGGATGGAGATTGCAGCCGAGTAGCAATATGACCGCTTTCGGCCGTAGCGCATGGTGTCTTCTCTTCTAGACATTTTATGTCTTTGGCATTCACTACTAGAAAAAAGGCTGTTAGTGGCGCACCTATTTTTGCTATTAATGACGCACCCATGGTGCGCCACTATTATCACGCCACTAGTAACAAATAGTAATAGCACACCTCTGGTGCGCCATTAGTAATCCAGATAGTAGTGGCGCAGCATCTGGTGTGCCATTACTAACCATACATGTGCGCCACTGGTAAGATGAACAGGTGCACCACTACTAAAATTTTGAAATCTGGATATGGATTTGGGCTGATTTTTTTTTTGCAATTTTTTTCGAATTTTGTTCTGGATCTAGTACGTTCTTTGTGCCGGGGAGCTCCACGTGTGGCTGGAAGTAGAGGAGGGAGGAGAGGAGGGAGGAGGGAGGAGGAGGG